TCACCGTACGTACGGTGGAAGTCTGTTTTCTGTGCTTCGAATTTTCGAAGAAATTTGTTTGAAAGCTTTTAGCAGTCTTTCTCGAACAAGAACATGAACAGGAAAATTAACAGGCAGCACAAAGGTCACCGATGGGAAGCAATCATATTACTCGGTCGGTTCGGAAGAAGCACAAAACACGAATGGTCTCAATCGACCGAACATAGAGTTGGTTGCATCCGTATGGCGCCCAATTACGAAGACGTCTGATCTGAATAAAGTCAATATTAGCAAAGGTTATACAAGTTAAGGTACTTACCACGCGAGCGGTCCGGGATCAAATCCTGGGTCGTGAGTCGCCCGGGCCAACCAAGCCTTCCATCCCTCCGGGGTCGGTTAATTGGTACCAGACTTGTCTGGGAGGATAAAAACACTGACTTGTACATCGGCTGGCCCCCGCAAGTCATTGTATAGGCCACATCGCATTCAAACGCCACTACGAATGTACAAATGGAAGTAGAATGCGTGCCGCATCCCAAAAAGGGATTGATCAACGGCAAATGCTTTATCCTTTATCCTTATTTTAGCAAATGTGAAAGGCAGAACCACGCGACTTTGGGAATGAATTGGTCGCAACCAATCGCAAACATGGGATGGCTACCATTTTTGAGTAATGCACTAATTTACTGCTCCTCAAAATCTCCAACCTAGCGAGACACGATCGTAATTGAGAAAATCACGATAATTTCATCCCGAAACTGACCCTGAGAACCGGCAATGGCATGCGAGCAGTGATAGTTATGAGCGCCTGAAGTTAACATGAACAGCACTTGCCGTTCGGTTTTCTATCGACTCAACATCTCAGCAGTAGAGCTTAGTTTTAATGTCATTTTAACACTCGTCTAACACTTGTCAAAGATCTACATCCAATTGTTCATCTAAAAACTTACCCTCCACCAGTATTGCAGCATACCGTAGAGGGCGAAAAGCACTTTTTGCGCCAGTGGCATCTCATTACCATACGGAAATTCCCTTAAAAAACAATGAATTTACAAGAACCTGCAGCGTAAAATTCCTTAAACGTACTCAACAGTGGTGAACATGACACAAGGATATCTCAAAGTCCCTTTTCCCTTGACTATTCTTGTGAGAGCCTGATGCGATATGATATCACTCCAATTCTGTAGGCAAAGATATGCTTTCGAATAGATTCTGTGATGAATCCTCCAATTCTGTAGGCAAAGATATGCTTTCGAATAGATTCTGTGATGAATCCTATTTTTGAACTCATGCTGATGGAGGTCAGTTGGTATCAGATAAATTTTCTGATACCAATGACGATAGACAACTTCAGCACCATGAGAACAGTTTATGGGTTAAGGTCTATAACAATTAACATGATAGGAATTGCGCATAAGGTAAATATAGAACATACCACTGCCTCTTCTTCCATAGGTGTAAGGTAAAACATGACTAACCAGTCTTTTTTTGATCATTTTGAAAAAATCTTTATAAACTTGTTTCACATCCTGAGGCATGGGCCTTAAATCGACTGAAAAATGGGAGATTCTTCTCCTGTTTGATGCAAGTGTTTTATTAAGAAAGAAACCTAATCGTAAATGCATATCAGTGCGTCCGCGCAAGTACAATATAGACACTCACGTTTGCCACGCAACAATTCACCAAGTGGAACAGCACGCTGCTGAGAACGAAGCCAACACTGTTGGGGAATGCGTTTAGTAGTTTAACATTGCCTTACTATATTCTGCGTTTAATATAATCATTATTGGTTTGCGAACTGTTTACGAAGCAATTTTGTGAATGTTAATCGCATTTAGTTCATGATAATGTCCTGCAGTCAGATATCTCGCGCTTCAGAAAAATCCATTGTTCCATATTTGTATGTTCGCTCACTCTTTTCCAGACGTATCGTAGGATTGCCACTCGTGTGCTACGGTGAAGCACACAAATAGAAACTTTTTCCCGCGATACAGCTGTAGCCTCTGAAAAAATGTCTGAGGAAAAGATACGGATTCCTCCGCGATTCTACGCCTTGCCAAGCTGCCAAACGCTAGAATACGAAAAGGACACCACCAAAACATTCTGACATCGAAGCCTTCGAGCCTGTGTCAACGTTTGAAGCACGGCAGCTACCATTCTGAGCTCTGCATCTTAAAAAGCTTCCTCGTCACTGAATGAACAAAAACCGGTCGACTGTAAGCGACTAAGTATCAAGTGATTTCCCTATAATTCAAGCATTGGAATAAATTTACAACGTGTCTGCTTTACACAACATTGCAATCCGACGCTGTGACGTCACAACATTATTGCTTCTACATTGCATCCGTTTGGAGACTTTTTCAAATGAATCTTGCTCTATATGTGTATAAACAATGTGAGACTTCAAATATTTATTGCAAAAGACTCAAAACTTTCTACAAAAGAAATTGCAAAAATGTGTGTTTGCAAAAGTTTTGCAAAAGTTTAGGCCTTTTTGGCGAGCTTTCGGCGCTTAGCGCCTTTGTCGAGCCTGAAATGAAAATTAGAAGCTTTCTTAAAGTCTGTTAATATATTAAAATATATTAACTGACCCACCTGCTGTCCACTGACAAAGTGTAACACTTACCACCCTGTTGGTTTGTGAAGCAGGAACTATTCCCTACCCTAGTCTTACCCTTAAATAGCGTTGACGTGCTACGACCGTTATTTCCCAAAATATCGCATTCATTCCACAGTGATGATAACTGCAGTCATGCGATGAGTTGAAGAGAGTCACGTAACTCGTCTCTGCTATTTATTTCCGGGGCTAGTCTTTTTATTTCCAGAGCCTCCAGTATTTTGCGTTCCACTGTGTTTTCGAACGGAACGGTAGTGGGACCTTTTACGTTGAGGGTGGGTGGATCCCCTTGGGCATGTTGTTGGGTCTATGTTTATGTGGTGTTCTGTCGATGCTACCTAAAATATAAAGCCGGGTTGGTAGCACCTCTGAGGTTCATCAAGTCCGTGTAGAGGGGTTTGGGCGTGTTTCCTTCGAACATACTTAATGCCCACATCCAAACGCCGGAGTACTGAGAAAAAATAAACCATATTAGGTAAAAGGTGGACGCTAGAAAAGTACGACGTTTACACTGACTTCTCCAACTATTCCTACCTACTACTCAATGGTAAACACCCAAAATTCAGGAACACGGCTGTAGATAACTTAAAGTACAGGGATATTAATACTCGTTCCATCATCTCTAGCTGCTGGTGGTTCATCAGATAGGATCAGATGGTCACTCTTTTGGACTTTTCTCCCCACTCTGCATCATGTTCCCTCATATATTCCTCAACCAATGCCACATCCCAAATAATGTCCAACGCTATGCAAGTTTTGATGCAGTTCCCTGTGTACCCAACGTCAACACAATGGATGAAGTTGAGGCTCTTCTAACTTGTGGAATTAATATAGGAAAGACGTTTACACGCTTGGCCTAGGAAGAACAGGATCTTCGTGGTTACTTACGGTAACCTTAGAATGCGACATTTTCCTGTTTGATGGCAAATTCTACAAACAACACCGAGGAGTAGCCATAGGGCTGCTGATAGCACCCTTACTAGTAATAATATTCTTGGATTCTTTGCCTGGGATAGCGTTGTACAAGAAGTATGATGACGATGTGTTCATTATTGGCTCTTCTGAGCGATTGGCAGAAGACACTTTCAAAGCCTCAATTTACAAGATCCCAACATTAAATTCACGGTCGAAGATTCAAATGAAGAGGGATTTGTCTTTTCTCAATTTCCGAGTTCGTGTACATGAATGATTTTACAAGAAACCTGCATCGAGGAATATACTTTTACATGCTAGAAGTTGCCACCCCATCTACATGAAGGCCAACGTCGTCCGCAATCTGATTTCAACCAAGGATAAAGTCTGCAGTCAGCCTTCAAGTGAAGTAGACATAATGGTGGAACGTATTTTGAGAGAAAACGGATATTCCAACAAAACTTGCAATCATGGAGACCGTACTCCACACCTGATGGGATCACCATGATAATGCCGTATGTTAACGAAAAAACAGCATGGAAGGTCAACAATGTCGTAAGGAATTCCTCGCTCCCAGTACGACTTGTGTTCCGCCCACCCCCGAACTTGAAGCGACTGCTGACATACTCCAGACCTTACGAGGATAAATGTGGGAGGAATGGTTGCATCTTTACTGTAAGGAAGACAAAAGATGCTCTGTGGGCACAAGCTATGCAATGGAATGTCAAGGATGTGGGCATAAGTATTGGGTTGGTGCATAACGTTCAAAGCAAAACCCAAAAGCAAAGCCAAGCATAAAACTAATCAGTGATGTTCTTCTCGTCATTATATACGACTTTGATCCCATTTCGCGAAAGATTGCCGGGTCCAGAATTTAAAAAGGGTACTGAGCCCGTTTTCAGAGTCCTCATTATTCTCAATATGTACGACGTGAATATGATTTGAAATTGAGGGTCGACGGAGTAAGGTTCGATGATGACGATGGATTCCGAAAAACTCCTATTTTGGCAGCTTTTTTCTTTATATAGATTTTCGCCCACCTTGATTTCCAACTTCTAAGCACCATATCTGAGTACACTTACAATATAGAAGAAAATGACAAACAAGGTATTGTAGAGCGGAAGAAGTACTTTCAAATGATATATGTGATTTCCTTGGTAGTACTTGTATTCACTGAAATT